TGTATTAGATGTTCTGTTTGAATGCAAGAAGGACATTAACTCTGTGTAAGACAATATGGGTTTATGTCCTTCCCGCTCTCACCGGAATCGTCCTGATGACATTTTGAAAGTCTGGAGACCTTTCTTTTGCTTTATCAAAAGGCACCTTGAAGAATGAGGGTCTTCCTGATTGGATTCGGGGAACGGAAGTTGGAAAAGTGAAAGCGATGCAAAACTATTCCATTCTCCACACAAGGCAACTCTCTTGATAACATAACCACAAATGTCATTGAATTAATTACACATTATGCTTATTTTTCAACTTTTGATAACGACATGGTTAAAAGTATTTAGCTGCTGGCTATGTTCACAAGGACAAGACTTTCTCACAGAATCGACATAGTTTCTAAAGCAGAACTGGAGATGAATTTATGCATACATGAATGTCCATGAGAGGTTTCTTCTCATACACGTACACACTTTCCAGTTCTTATGTGTATAGAAGCACCTTTCTAGAGATTTATACTCATCTATATAGATTTTTTTTTTTAAATTTATTGTGCATTTGATATTCTTTACACCATGGCCTGTATTCTATAAAGCACTTAGAGACATCCTTGTCAATGTATTAAGCGCTATATAAAGCCAGAATACTATTTTGTTATTAGCATTATTAGTATCTTTATTACTATTATTAGTAGTAGTATTTTTATTGCTATTATCATTATGAGTATTTTTGTTACTATTATCCTTATCATTTTTATCATTATCATCATCATCATAATAATCATCACCATCAACATCGTCTTCATCGATCATCATCGTTATTCTACTATTTCAGTTAAAGACACAACATGAGGACTGAAGTCATATTTCATAGTGAACAGAGGGAAAACTTACACTTCAGAAGTTCAGTCAAACATTATTTGTTACCCTTCTTTAGACTGAGTTTAAACGCAGCATCCAATTTTAATTTTAGTAGGTACAGTGTAATATAGACCTGTGTGTCTTTCTTTTATATGGTGATGTAGGCCTGAACTAAAACCAGCTTGACTATTGGAATGGGATCTCCGTGAAGCAGTGTGAAGTTCAGCGTTTTCAAGAAAACTTGAGAATGCAAATCAGGTGTCCCCTCTTCTCTCACTCGGAACATCTCTGTTTGATATCACTCTCCAAAAGCAAATGAGCATGGGGTCAGTTCGGCAACAAAAACTCGACCACAGTAAACTGGACAGTACTCTGTCCACTAACGACTCCACTCACTGGTCAGATGAAGCAGGATTGGAATGGATGGATGGGATGAGACCATCCTGGTAAATATTGGTTGGTAAATAGGACCTGAGGCTCTTCCTCTTACACCCATCTTCTTGGCCAGCCAGCCAGCCAGCCAGGATTCTATGAATGCATGCATGATCACTAATCAGGGTAGGCTTAAAGGTAAAATCAGTCATTTTGAAATGTACAATGTTACTAATGTAGCATACATGTATAATCAAGATCTGGAATGCATCAAAGAATTCATCTTTAAATTCCATAAGAAAATGTTCAACTTTGATGTTTAGTTTATCAATGATATAGCACACAGGATTCTAAGTATTTCAATTTCTGTCCATCATTTAAAAAACACATCTATCCATTGCATATAAAGGTAGGACACTTCATAAAAAATGTTTGTGGGTTTGGTATTTATTTTTTCCCCCAGTCAACCAATATAGTGTAATTCAAAGATACAATTTCCCACATTTTCCTTCACTGGAGTGTACTTTTAATCCACTTCCAGCAATGCAAAACCTTCCATTCCATTTCTTTGAACCGTATCTTTTTCCCCCCATTGCCCCTACAAAATTACATGAACGTGCCGCAATGAATAAATGTAATAGTAGTAGCCAAGGGCACTTTTCTTTTCTTTTTTTACAATGAAGATATTGATGAAACATCCTGTACGCAAACACTCTGGTAAGCGCTAGCATACATAAAGGCTGCTGAGAGCCAGAAGGGTATATGTACATGTACATTGCCAACTACATACATACATATAGTTTTATGTGGTTAATGTCTTTCTGTCTCGGCCGATTTTTTTTTTCTATCTTCTTCTACATACACCTAAATTCAACCACATGAATGACTAGTCTTGACATTCAGACAGCTTTTGGAGAAGGATGGCAATCCAAAGGGTATTAGATATTCAGGGCAAATGTAATATCCTAGATTGGAGACTGAATTATGAATACAAGTAAAAGGACTATACATGGTCAGAATTTGAACCAAACAAAGAAAGAAAACAAATTATAAGCAAACTTAACATTCTGGTTGTATACCATAATCTATTCAAGTTATGCTGACATTTGCTCTAAACTGTTTTGATTCAATTAAAAAAGATTGAGTCAAGAAATAAAATGGACATCTGAAAAGATTCATGCATTCACTTGTCATTGAATTCATAGCTTGGACTTATTGTTGCAATATTAAGTGTTGCTTCACAAACTACCTTGATATTTATTTCGGGCAATTTAACCAAAAAGAGTACCACATCTTAGCCATATGTGACCGCACCTGGTGCACCCTTCTTCATATCGCATAAAAAAGTCTGGTTCGTGTAGACTACTATTTAAATGCCAATGCATAGCTAACACCTGAAATCTTATACCCATCTAAGTGGATGGAGTTTGCCCAAAGCGAACTCAATTCCTCCATGTTGACGAAGCTTTGTGCCCGTTTGCTCACCGATACATCACACGCATTCCATAAATGGTATGACGGATTCAATACCCCCTCCACCACCCTACAATAGCGGGATGAAACTTATTCATCACGCCTGTCACAGAACGGTTCGGCAGGGACCGAAACCGGAATCCATCAAACTGAAAATTACCATTGTAATTCTTGTTGTAAGCAAGCAGAAAAGGAGAGAGGAAGACAAATTTGCTTTTCCATTTTCGAAATGAAATGCAGAGAAATTACAGGTTCCATTCATCTTGCTTCCGTAATTCAATTGCTAGTCAAGCCAGGATGGAATGTTCCCCATCATCTGATAAAATACATTCATCAAATTAGTTTCCATGGTTTCCACATTATCAAATACAACAAAACTGTTACGCACGATGAAATACAGAGGGGTTTTTTGGGGGGTCGCATAAAAACATTATTTCTAATATTAGCACGGTGGGTATCTACAGAAGGCATTCTTCAAAGTAACTTAATATTTAACGGCTGTCATTAAATTGATTGAGTGAGTATATGATATGCATCATAAAATTTGATGAGGTCACATAAGTTTGTATAGAAAGTGGCTTGATTTAGAATCTTTGTATTGTGCTAAACACTAATGTCTTCTTTTATTAAATCAAAATAGCTTATTTTCAGTACCTTAGCTTCAAAACGGTAAGACTGGCTTTGGTATTGTGATGAGTATCAAGAAAATTGAAAAGCATGTACATTCATATCAAGCATAGCTAAACAAATCCATTTCAGGAAAGATAAGATGCCATCGATGCAAACATAATCAGGAAAATATACAAAACTATCTATCATAAATGTTAATCCCAGTCATCTCCTGGTAGTTACATGTACAGTTAGACTGTGACGTTCTGACAATACAGGAGAAATTCATACTAGAACAAATTTATGTTCTGTTATTCAAAACACTTCTACATCTTCTGCTGATAGTGTGGTGACTGCAATTTCATATTGGATTATCAGGAAAAACATTGTCATGTTATTTCAGATGATGTGGTATTTATTCAACAAATTAATACCATAAGGTATGTTGGAACATTCTTAAAGCAGAACTCATTGCCACATTAACCAAAATGTGATTTGGTTCACTCGTGCGAACCACAAAACAATGAAGAAGAAGGCTTTGTTATAAAATGTCTGAGCCATGTACATGTAAAACAAAAAACACTGGAATGCATTTCAAAATGACTACCTGACTGTAGTCTAGTTAACTAGGCTTCAATTGCCGCACAATGGATTTCATTTTTTAATCTAAACTGAGCCAAAAATGAAACCCAATTGTAATAATTAATTTATATAATACTGTACATTTCTAAAACCTAAAGAACTTTCACTTGTACTACAACACTTGGGATGAAATAGAGGTAAAAAAAAATATACAATGTACATTTTTCCACATGATAGATTTTGTAATGGGGTGGTTAAGTCAATGAATTAAACTAAAGTTAACTCAGAGAGCAGATAGGATAGCCGCTGATTATGAAGGAACAAAGGAATTTGACGCCTCTTTTAGTTTAATATGATGTCCTTCCCCTAATTCTCCCACCAGCCTAGCTGTTTGGCTGCTCATGCAATCAAGCTCATCAATGCCTCTTCAAGCAAAAAGTAATTAAGTTCATCAGGGCCTTGTCAGCCAACTAACCATTATTTTAGAAGTCGTTCAGTTTTCTAGCTTCCTCTACCTATCTCTCTTGGGCCCTCCTTCTCTCTGGTTAAAAAAGTGCCCGTTCTCAGGTAAACAGTATTTTTTTTCTCATTATCTGGAAGACAGATATCTTTGTAAAGCAGTATAGTGATCTTTGTGGGATTGGACATGTTGCTACCCAGAGAGTGTCAGGGATCAAAACATGTTTTCTAAACAACACATTGATCACGATGTCTCAATCTCTCTTGCTGGTTGAAAGGTATCTACTGTAGGATCTGGTCTATATTTACCTCCCTCCAAAAAATAATCATTATACCCCCCCCCCCCCCTCTATCTCTCTCTGTGAATCTATATTCCTGTCCTCATCCCCCTCCCTCCCCCTCTGTGTGTGATTCTCTCCCCCTTTGCTCTCTGTGATTCTCCCCCTCTCTCCCACCCTCCTTCTCCCCCCTCTCTCCCACCCTCCTTCTCCTCCCTCCCCCCCCCCCCCCCATTCCTCCCCCTCGCTCTCCTCCCTCTCTTTCTCTCTCTCTCTCTCTCTCTCTCTCTCTCTCTCTCTCTCTCTCTCTCCTTCTTTCACTCTCCCCCATTTTTCTCTTTCTCCACCCCCCCCCCCCTCTCCTGCCGGAAGGACTTTTTACTTCTCTTTTTTGAGACCCATACCTTTGCTCTTCCTGTGCCCTCTTAAGAAGAACCCATCCGCAGCAGCACAGAACCAAACACCCACTCTGCGGATACTTGTGGGTAACCAGGCCTTGCACGGCACGTTGTTACAGAGATCGGCGACGTGTGAACGGCGCACATGCAATTGCAATGATTCACCCTGCAAACTTTCTCTATCCCTACAAAGCATTGTTTGTGTGCAGTCAAATCAAGCTCATTAGAGTGACACATTGCAGCTCACAAACATCTACAGATGGCACTATTTGTGGTAAGTTTAGTCTCTTCACAAGAATATCTTCAATAACTAACTTCTCAAAACATATAATGTTGCTGAAGCTTTGTTGGTATATACAATAAATCATTTTTAGAGCTACATGTACATGTATTAATATAGAAGATTTACTCAGAACTCCATAATTGGGATTCTGATTTAGCTCATATGAATTACCATAAGGTCAAGTTGTAAAAATTAAGGAAGTTAAAGAAACTACACCCTTACCTTGTGGTTGTGCTAAATTCCAATTGAGCAGCTTGTCCTGCTTGTAATGCTAATCCAGTCACTGTTAAAGATCCTGTGAACAAAAATGAAAAAAGAAAATATCATCATAATCTGAAGTTCAACTTGGGAGCACACTTGCTACTAGTACAGTACCTTCATCATCATGGTAGCCCGAGATATTTCAAATGGATTTAAAATACTGAAGCTGAGATTGTTGGACGTAATTTCATAAATAAGAGGAAATTAAACAAGTTGATAGTGAGACATTGAAGGCTGCTATCAATGTTCATGACGTGCAGGGGAGTGAATATGACATCACATGTATGAAATGCATTTCAGCACTTTTTTCTTTCTCTCTCTCTCTCCTCTAGTGATTTTCTCCTGCCTTCCCCCACAGCCATGAGCGCCAAACGAGCGACAAATGGGAGTTTGATTGAGCGTGGAGCGGAAAAGCTATCAGCTTGGGCTGCTAATGACTCCAAGATCTGAATATGAATCTAAATTGAATTGCAAGGGGGCTACATAGACAAGTACTGTACGTGTAATGTAGGAAGCTGATGGTGGTGTGAAGGTTATATCAGAATCAGAGTGTGTGATGTTATCCAATACCATGGCTCATGGTGTCATCATATTGGAATGTTTGAAGAATATAATTATGTGAAGATGAAATATGAAATATTATCCTTAAATTATGGAATTACATATTAAAAAGGACACAAATAGACAAAGAGGGTTGCATGACACACGCTCAGGTGACACGGGCTGTGTAGTTATTTCCCCAGACACAAAATGAAGTACTAACTTAAACCCTGGACAAAACAACACACCTTACCCTTACCCCAAGTTCCCAACCTTAACCCGAACCCTAAACCTAGTCTTCAACCCAATCACAACCCTACGTTACATGTATATCTTTGAGGAAATAAAGCCCCAAACAAGTCTTGCCACAGTAGATCATCAGACAAAAAGACAGACATACTGTACATGTACATAGATAATGTGCGAGGAAGAGAAAAGAAAGTAGAAATGTCATGAAAAGCACAAGAAATGGGGATAATTTGTTTAAATCCAAGTTCCAATAACATTAAAAATGAACAGTGTTTCTGTAGATAACATCCATGAAAAGCAAAACAAAAGAAGATATGAATTTCCAATCAGCTACAGATTCCTAACTCAAACAAGCTATACATCATGATCATCATGTTTTCAAACATGATGAAAAATTCATCAACGTGAGCAAGATAATCAGCCTCTACGGATAATACATGCAATTACTTTCAGGGGAAGCGAGGCAAGTAATAATCGAGAGCAGCGCCATTTCACCAAGGTCAGAACTGTATGATTTTGATAGAATGCTCTGCGATGAGTTAAGGTGACAGCGCTCATATCATATCCCTCGCCTGTGTACACAAGGCACAGTTGTATCTAATCCATGGCATTATACTTATAGATTCCATTCACAATGAATCCATAACTTCATTATTTGTTGATCGGAGAGAGTATTCTGTGTCAGAATGATGGGAGATGTATTGTGTCTCGCTATATTAATGGACTGGTGCTATAGCGAGAAGCACAGCTGGTGGAGAGTGTGAGAGATGATGAGAAACGTGGTATTTCATTTCAGTTTTGTAAATCTGGAAGTGGATCATATTCTCTGGCATTTGCAGCAAACCAAACACCAATAGTATTTTCTCTAGCACTGCCTGATATTTTGATAGAGTAACAATGAAATATGTAATTATTTGGATAAAAACAAATATGTCTATGTTGATAAATCTTTTTCCCTCACACTAATTGGCAATTTTAGTACAAAAGTTTAACAAAAGAAATCAATTTCAATGAATTTTGATGTCTTGAGAGTAAATGTTGGATACTTTATTATTGTAAAGTATCTACATGTAAAGTGTTTATATTAAAGCATTGTTTGAACAAAAGAAATACATTTCAATTAGTTCAATGAATTGAGAGTACATGCTGTCTACTTTATTCTTTTGTACAAATGTACATGGGCTTACTCCAATAGACAAGACATGCTACAATTTCTCATTTTACTCCTATACTTCACCGATCTGTTCCGATTCGTCACATGTCTTCCTGACTTTTCCATTGAAGTGCATCAAATCAATCATGCCCATGCCTGGATACACCTCTTGCAGCATGTTCACCCAATCTTAACAAATTGCCTTCTCTCTTTCACTGAATCATCATCTGAATATTCATGAATCGGACAGCAATCAATAGAAGATCCTGAAGAGCTTTTCTTGTCAGTAACCCATGCACATCCCGGTTAGGAACCCACTTACCCCCCATTCACATTACCAAATTTCACCGTATTTTATTCATGGTACAAGAGAGAACCGTATAAGTTTACATGTATGCGATGACTCAGAGCAGTGGTGGAAGAAAGTATGCAGGGGCGGTGAGCGATTTGGCTCTGGAAAGCTCCAAAATACTTCTTCTATACCGAAAAAGAGCTCAGGGCTCCGTCTTACAAACAGTTACGATTGATCCAAATCAATCACAAGTCCTCCAATCAATCGCAAGTTTGCAGTCTCCTATCTCATAAATATGTACATAGTTGCGATTGATATCAACTCTTTGAAATACGAGGCCCAGGTATTAATTTATATGACAATAACATTCTCAAAGACCCTATCCAATGAAAATAAAACTTGATATAAATGGAAAAGTAAATGAATTTAGAATACAAATATAAACTTCATTTTTGAGTTCAGATATGGTCTTGAAATATCAATGTGAAAAATCACACTTATTGTATACAACACCAAATCCTAAAAAAGCACAAAACAGGGAATCAGGAACAAACCTCTTGTCCCTTTATACAATGTTTCTTGTATGAAGATGGATGATACGGATGATAGTGATACCAGGTTGTTTTTTTCAATGTGTACATCCCTTTTGCTTTAAAATGATTCTTCATACAATGTTCCTTTTTAGTCAGAGTTTTGCATTTTTCTTCATGGTGGGAACGGGTTATAAGAATATCTCTAGTCCACTTCTATTTCAAGAGGAGGTACTTCTTCATAAAGAAGTCACTCCCAGTCTCCCAACTACTTTTTCATTTTCAGGGGGATTTAGAGCTGATTCTCCTTCAGACGGGGGGAATTGGAAGAGGTATATCTGGCCATGACTCACATCTTACTGATCAAAGCTCTAGCCGAAATAATACCCAATATATCTCAATCTAAGATAAATTCTATGCAGTCTCATCTGAATATGGACATTAATGACACTGTGACATGTACTCTGTAAATTGTACATGCTTTAGTATGAAATAGATTTGATTATATGTACCGGTAGCTCTCCCATTTGTGATCCACTTTATGTCTATTACAACTCAAATTCATATACATGTACCAATAAATAGTTTGTGCCTACAATTAACATTACCTCCTCCCCCCCCCCCCCCTTCCAAAATATCCATCAGGTTTAGAAAATTAATTGAAACCTCTACAAAATTTGCATTTAAATTTAATATCCTAGATTATTTTTTTTTTTACTGCATTTACATCTATTTCCACAGGAGATGAACCTCAATATTCTTGATGCGCGGGAATCGAAGGGTTACTGCTCTGACATGATGCATTGCTCGGCAAAACCTTAAAATGTGAGGACTACACATGATCAAATCTCTTGCCCTCCTCATCCCCCTGAACCAAATTCCAGTTGCCATGCCGAACTATGCCTGCACCTTGCTTTCCGCAGGAAGCTCTTTGAGATCCGTACGATCCGCCGGTCGGTCGGAGGATGGAAGGAAAGCGTGAGGTTGCAGCGAAACTTGCGGAAATGAAGCGACATGAGACATGGCATCTAGCCCATTCATACCAGAAACCATTTCAGCTGGCAGCCTTCATAATTTACAGCTTTCACTAGCTTTGTGCTACAAGCGGCAGACCCTCTACTTTTTTTTTATTTCAATTACGCCTAATAGCACGATAAGTTTGCAATAAAAAAAATAACAAATCTGTTAACACTTAGGGTAAAAGTATTCATCATTGAATAGAAAACACCTTAGATTTAAACAACAAGTTGAATAATTAATGCATTGCACATGTTTCAACCAAAAACAGGAGATGAGAGCTTGATAAATTGACCTTGAAAAATAGATAGTGTTTTGGTACAGTGTGAAATGATTTCCTGTTCACAAAAACTCTTTTAAAATTGATCATGTACATCCCTGTAGGTACATGTACATCAAGATTTCATCAAGTAGTAAATTTATGTATTATCTAATCTTTTTGTCACAGCTCTTTTCAAGTTTTCTAGAGCTATTTATTAGCTTTAAACTGTATTCTGCACCAATGCATTTCTTATTCTTCACTATCTCAGACTGAAAACAACCATTATTCGGTACACCAGAATAGGTGAATTTACAGTCCCCTATCATTGCATTAAAATTTCACGTTTGTGACACTTTCATGCCTTATGTCATGATTCTATGAATATATTCATGCACCACAAATACCAACATAAAAGGATAACTACTGTACGTGGTTTGCCGTGCTCCCTCGATCTTCTATCTAGATTACCCTACGTGACTTTTACCTGACACGTTTCAGTAGCAAGTCGAGTCAAGCCAAGCCTACATATTTCTAGACCTATTTTGCATTTTAATGAAATCAGGTAAACAGGACTACAGAAAATAAAAAGTATTCTAAATAAGACAGTTCCTTATGAAATAACCAAAGTAAAAATGGCAGTCCAAAACTTTGGAGATACAAATTATACCTCACCTACAGATGCGCTGATTCATTTTAGATTTGAGATCTGGTTCAGCTCATGCATTCTAAAATTTGGTGTCCATTTTAATAATTGCAGCCTACTAAAGAAATATAATTGTCAATTCACAGATTTTACACCTTGGTCAAATGCAGACTACAAATTGCATTGCATGTACTGCATGTGTTTTGCATGCCATTCAATTGTAGAGAGTGTGTACACTGTATGTATTTGGCATGTGATTATCATCCTGTTGAACATGAGTGTGTCATCCTAAGATGCAGATGAAGATTTCATATTGCATTCATACACACAACTCAAATCTCATACATT